AAAAAAAAAAAAAAAAACCTAAAGCTCAACCCATGGTTGCCTGGATCCGACCGCCGGCTGCGGGTTTGGGGTGGCGGCGGCTCCTTCTTCATGGGACCGTATGGGGCATTAGTTGGGGTTGAGGGCTCAAGCTCTAAAGCTTTCTTCACGGGCTTTACAAACGTGTAGGGTTGAGAGCTTCTACATCTGAAGTGTGACTGTGTCCCTACAATCATGTGCACATGTCGGGGGATCGTTGAGTGCTGTGCCGACAGCAGCAAGGTGAAACTGGTCGACCCATCTTTCAGAAGTAGCTCAGGCCCTGCCTGGTCCAAAGCAAAAGTCTGAAGGTTGGCATGCGAGCTTGACTTTCGCTTTTCCCCTACAAGTTCCTTCCTGGCGATATGCACTTGAATATTATGGCCATTGCAATAGAGTCAGAGCAACGAAATGGCAGCCACGATACATCAGTGGAAAGAATACTTTCAAGGAAGCTGTTTACCTACAACTATACCAACCTATCATGCTGTGCCGATAAGTGCAGCCGTCCTCGTCCAGGAAAGCATAGAGATCTCCAACAGAGTTCTCTGCCCTTGGGCTTGGCAGTTTGCACTGGAGCTCATGATCTACATTTGGGCATCGCAAAGCTCGGGCAACCCCGGAAGTGTATGCTTAACAGGCTCTGGTAGAAGGCAGGACGTTAGACCTGTGAATATTTAGAACACTTTGGCTCTGTCAGCCTCTGCCCAGCCTAGAAACTTTGCGCTTATCATTGCGGAGCGCGAGGGGTTTAAGGCTCCTTTGGGGTCATTTGATGTGTGGTGGCCCCCCTGGAAGACCGTGTCAAACTTGCTCAAAGAGGAACGCAAACCAGCAGTACAACTCGGCCCCTCACCTGCTGATCAATGCGGTGCTTTCCAGCATACTCAACCAGTTCGTCACTTGTCCTACTTGTTCTCTGATCCAAACCAAATTTCATCATTACTATTACTAGCACGATTACTATTCTTATTACTTTAAGATTACCACTATATTTCTGCTGTGACTACTATTTCTATTTTTATAAACCAAAATCGGCTCATCTGATCTCAAAGCATGGGCTGCGCGCTCAATTTGTGCACGCGCAGCTCGGCCACGATCGTAGGCCATCGCAGGGCACAGTTTCGCAGTTGATGTAGAGATGTGTGGGTGGTTGTTCTCCTTCCTTGCTAATTGCGATCTCAGCATCTGGCGGTGCAGCATGGGTAGCATCATTTCGGGCTCCCAAAACTGGGCGTGTCCTAACATATTGCATGTGACTCTTCTAACACTTATATAAATGGCAAGAACCCCGAGGGGCGGGGGGGGGCAGGGGGCAAATTATGGAGCGAAGACCACATATAGAGTTTCTTTGGCTTTTGTGATCTCAGGGTTACCCTTTTGCATCTTGTCAAGATTCAGACCTGACTCCGCGAAGACAGGTGCCCGACCAATTTGCACAACTTAATAGAACGGTCTTGCATAATCGCATATCGTGATGATTCGGGGAGACGGTTGTGAACTCGTCTGACTCCTATACTACATCGATAACGCTGCGAAAGCCATTGTGTCGCACTATGAAAAGGCTGCAACACCCGTTTGACCGGCAAGTCCTGTTAACAAGCTCTTACTCTTACTCTTACTGTTACTATTAATAATACTAGTATAAGTAATTACTATTACTACTACTATCCGTACTATATTTTTTTGCAGGATCTTGGTGGAGTATTCGCATACCGTCTTGAAACGCAAGTGCAAGCAGTCCTGCATAGATCTCCTTGAATCCCAATGCACAAGAAGGCCGCAAACCAAATCCGGGTTTTGATTGGTGTAGGGTCTGCGTCTTCTGCGGTTCCGACGTCATGTGCTCTTCCTGAGCTACCTTGTAGTGCAGGTATCGGACGCTCGGATGTGCATGTTAAGTCCCGTCCCCTCATGTTGCAGCACACCTTCTCCGAAGTCTTCTTGGCAGAGAACTTCGCACAACACTTCGAGAAATCCTGAATGGCAGGCATGCCGCTTCAAAGTTCAAACCCTCATCATGCAATCTCATGCAAAAAGAGGCTCCAGCCCAAAACCTTGTTGAAATGACGTTGTGAAGATGTGATGTTCGAATGTGATGATGTAGCAGGAGTGCTGAGTGCTGAGAATGAGAGACAGGCAGCACGGAGCCGCCCTGACCGATGAGGTGAACATTTTTTATGAGTTGTGCCCTGGCCCATTGGATACCATCAGCGTGGAACCCCTTTTAGATCCAAGGACCCACCCACTAGCGTCGTTTCAGCTCTGTCAGGATCCAAAATGCATCTAGTCTTCTTCCTCAACTTAGGTACCAGGGCAATGCGCCTTGATTTTTGTCCAACGCTGGCAGGATCTACGCGCAAGCGCGGCATCCCAAGCGCATGGCTGTCATCCGTGCTCCCCTCCCACTTCAGGGCTTAGGGCGCAGCCCTTTCTGCAGTGTTGCACGTTGGCTCGTCTTCTCGGGGGATTGTAAAGCTACGGCCCGAGCGAAGCGGATCTTTGGGCTGCGGAGGCGTCCTGCGTCTTGTAAGTAGGGCAAAGAAGGAACGGATTGTAGCCTGAACGGTCCATTGTGATCCTCCAAAAGCACCTTCTCACAATCCCACTTCATAGGATCCTACGATACTCCCCGTCACCACCCCGAGAACCCGTAAACCAGAAGCCCTAAACCCTAAGCCTAAACCCTGAACCCTAAACCCTAAACCCTAAAAACCTAAAGCCCTACTCACAAAGCGCAAGGCTTGCGCCCGTGAGAAGAATTCAGGCTGCCACCCAGGCCCGGTCCGCCGCAAGTCTTCCAGCGGCAAGACCGAGCATGCTGTTAAAAAAGTCGAAACTTGTCCCTTCAGCACCAAAAGCGTGGGGATGTGAACTTAAGCCGTATGTATGTGTATATATACCTGTATGTATCATGGTTGCTGAAGGCATGAAGATCTTAAGGATACAAATTAATTGGAAAAAAGCTGCACGCAGCGAGGATCGTGCTCCATCAGGCATGTTGCAGTTTGCTTCCAGCCATCCGGATATTTCCGGACCAACCGCAGGGTAGGCGAGCCATCCAGGGTTTGCGGGTTGAAGGATTCTCCCCCTTTCGGTTCCCTATGCTACGGAGACCCTTTCGATGAACTTCCACATGCCAAGGCTTAAGGAGTGTCCTCTTATGGACTTATGGAGTGTCACTGCCAGCCTAGCCCCTGCTGCTAAAAGGGTGGCCGTCGCAGATTCAAGACCACGCCATACTCTTTGAAAGACCTCCTTCGTTTATCCTTTTGGTCTGGGGTCTAGCAACAAGGGTCCCAAATCTCAAAGCACACCCATTGCGGAGGAAACTATGAGAGCATAGCGCTTCTGTAGCGATCGTGCTCCACATAAAAAAGGGCTTGACTCCCAGAGAGCCCACAATCCCTCCAGCACGTGATGCTTCGTGTGGCTTCAAGAAAATGCTCGAGTCAAATGTGTTGTGGGCCGTCTGGGTTAAAATTTAGCCTAGCGACGTGCAGCTAAAAGACCATGGCCAGACCTGTTTGAGGGGCTCACATTTTGAGGGCCCAAGCCAGGAAGTCCAGCATCGGAGGATTGCTCTTCTCAGCACTCGGTTGCACCACCTCATCTTCACCACTGTCCGACGGTGCAGAGTCTAAAGTTGCTGTCCATGAGCAAGCTCATCCAAGGTGCATCCCGTGAGTGATATGATCTTGGCCTAACCAAGAGTGGAGTAGCTACATTAGTAGATAGGTCGCACGTTGCCCTGGCCCTCCTCAGGTTGCACAAGAGCTAAAGTCTTACAAGTTCCATGGAAGGTCTACTTCACCGTGGAAATATTCCCCTCCGAACATACGTTGTTCATAGTGAGCCTAGGACCGATGAATCCCCTCGCATGGCAGAGAAATAGACTTGAACTACTTTCCTGGGCTTCACTAATGCAACCCACAAGCCTAGCCCTTACGGCCTCAATCTCTGTAAGCCAACCTTAAGTAAGCAGCCCTCATGACTTTTGCTCAAACCTCTCGGAAACTTGAAGCTGCACACTTAAAGCCAAAACCCAAGAAGCCTTCTCAACAACTAAGCCATAAATTGCTTCTCACCTCAAGAATCCTTCCAATGGCCTCTGATTTCTGTCACTATTTGGGTGGCTGTCAATCTTCCTTCTTCCCAAACAGCGCGGATGCTGCAAAAATCATGGTGCCGCCTTATGACGAAAAGGAAAACGAAGGTCTGGAATGATGGCTTTGGCACGTAAAGAATAGTACTGACTCTTGTTCCCTTTGCCAAAACCTCACAAAACACACGAGCGCCTTCATTTTAGGACGCGCCCGTCGTCTCCAGGAGCTGTCGTCGTCCATTCTCCATCGGTTCCGCCCAACGGTGTGTAGACTGAAGTGTATCTTCAATGTCTGACCACCCTCGTAGTGGGTGGGGAGAGGTTCAGCGCGTCGTGTGGGAATGTGGGGTCTAGGACTTCGCTGAGGATAGCCCCCGCCAGCTCTTCCATGCCGGCCATGTTTGGAATCAGATGTCTTAGTACTGCTTTATGTCTTAGATGGCAAAGTGGTCACCGCAGGCCGTTTCCGTCTATATTTGCTAGCGCGATGCTAGCGCCAACCTAGCGCACATTTTGCCTCGTGATTTGGAATTTTTGGCACGCTGGCAGTATGCATCTGGAGCAAACACTGCAATGCATCTAGACATGTCACTCAATTGTCACTCTCTGGGACTAGAAAAGGTTTGAGATTGGTCCTACAGGTGCGGATTTCCTCCTTTCGCCAAACCATGCCCTCGATGCCAGCTACCCTACCCTACAAGCCGAAAGGCTAATTTTTCGCACGCCAGCGTCCTCAGCTCATACCATGTCATCTTTGGAAACCGTTACCATCAGCCTTGTGATCAAAGGAATACCTAGCGCCATGCTAGCGCCCGAGACCCGCATATACGTGTGGTGCCGCCTTGTAGCGAAGACTAAACCGGCAAGAGCGGAACCTCGTATCGCACTTCTATCATATTTTACATACATGGTATTTTGACGTCCGCCCATTTATATTCCTATAAAATTTCTGCTTAAACAAACCCTTGAGCTTTGGGCCATAACGCTGGAATTGCTTTAGTGTACCGTGCCTTCCAACAACTAAACAGGCCCCAAATCTGCGGATTCAAGCCTTAAACCGCAGGGCCAAAACCTGGAGCACTAACCAGCATCCATGCAAACCCCAAACACGGCTTAGGTTAGAATCCGAACCTTAAAGCCTAACCCTCGAATCCGAATCAACTCCTAGAATCCCACCCTGAACCCTATACAACCTTCGAATCTAAACCATACCTCTCACTCCAATTACCTATACAGCTTAATAGCAGTTGCCACCTAACTAATAGGTAAACGGTAAACCCATAATAAACCTGTAGGTAGTTGGTGTTACAGGTAAACCCTAACCCTAAAACCTAAGCCCTAAGCCCGTAACCCTGCAGCTGAGAACTGGGCCGACTTCCGCTGCAAGGAACTCGGCTACCACTTCGAAGGCCTGGCTCTCAGAGTTATGTGGGTAATTACTTGGGGATTTCCCAAAAATTATAGTTATGTGTAGGGTGTAGGGTTAGTTATGCGGGTAGTTCCCAAAGTAGGGTTAAGGGTGTAAGGTTATGTTATGTGGCTAGTTCCCAAATTATGGTTTCGGTTTATAGTGTTTGGGGAGTAGAGTTTAGGGCCCACATACTGGGAGCAGCAATATAGTCCATCGCCAAAGGCGCCCCATAATTTTGGGAATAACTCACCTGTGGTCTTCTAAAGGCGTAAGAGGATCCCGTCAAAGGAATTTACAAGGGATGTAAGGATTCTTTGGCTTTGCGCTGCCATGGGAAGACTGCAGCCCCTTCATCCCCACATTTCTACCTACATCTACTAAGGACACTACAGGTTTTTGCTGTGGCACATGTCTGAAAACAACTCCAACGTTACCCCACAATTCCCCGGTCTTCAGACTGTCTATCCCTAGGGCTCCATGTCTATAAATAGTACCTACATTGGGCCCCAATGTCTATACATATGACCTACATTGGGCTCTTTGGAGCCTTAAGGTATGTTTCTGCCCTAAGTCCGTGAGCTCGGTAAGGACCACAAAACCAACTTAATTGATCACGGGGGCGGGGTCTTCCCTCCCATTTGTAAGCCTAAGGGTCCAAGGACCCAACTAATCGGGTTTTAGGGCCCAAATGCTATAATATTAATGGTATTTGGGCCCTATAAAACCCTATCATTTAGGTCCTTGGACCTTCAGCCCTCCGGGAACCTAATTGTGATGGCGTGCAGGTCACAATCTTGGACCCTCGTTTGTATGCCACCTCCCATCAACAGTTGATTATTCTCTTTCGTCCAGGCTAGGCCCCAAATTTTTGCCGCGCAATTTCAAAACAACTAATAAACACATGAAGCTCGGTAGTAGCCTTGAAGCTGGTATTTGTTTTCGTATAAGTGCTTACTGAAACCTACTTTAAACTGAACGAACTCAAGTGGAAACGTATGCAGAACTGCTTAACATCTAATGAGATGCACTCACAACCCGACAAAAAATCAGCTAAACCAAATTCGAATCAACTGACATCTGATCCCAATATTATCTTAGCCTAATCAAATTCAAGTGGAGGTTTGCTTAAAATGATATTAAGACTTAAGACAAAGTAGTTGATTTGGAAGCATTTGAGACCAGTTGCAAATCTAACGAACCCATTCTAAACTCTAATTAAACCTCATCTAAAATCATGACATACGTTTCGAATCTTAAAAATCTAGTCCAAATGAAACAAAACCAATTGGAACCTTAGAATCGACCTAAAGTCAACTTAAAACAGAATCTATCCGACAACCCTCCCCCTCCCAAAAACAACATGCTTAAGACGGATTCTGGCCCTGTGCTGGACTACCCCCTACCAAAATTGACGGCTCCCAACATGGCATCATGTGTGGGAACTTCGCAACCCTTACCATTCAATCATACTTGGGGATCTCTAGCATTTCCATCTAACCCCCCTTGTGCCACTAGGATCCGAACGCTCCACATCTGCAATCCCCTAGACCTGTGACAAAGATGCTGTTTTGAATAATTCCTTAGGGTTATACTCCAACACACAGAGTGCGGTTCCTTCGGATATCAATGCAGTACCCTTAATAACCCCTATAGTAGTCCCCTATATAACCCCCTTTAAGGAGTTTAGACTACAGCTCATATATTGTAATCTTTAGTAGAGGAGCCTTGGCAATGCCAGTCGCGTCTTTGTCGCCCAAGTGGACGCCCTGCCCTGCAGCTCAAGTATGCTACAGGGCCGTAGGGTTTGCTATATGCAGGAGATTCTTTTTAGAACTGGGGACTATGGCACCACACGGTCACAGAGCATGCGTTGCAAATGAACTTCTTTATCCATATCCCCCGTGGACGCCGTGGAATGTGCCAATCTTTCAGCAATGCCAAAAATCCTAGCAGTACCAGGCGTAGGTCATGTGCCCCAGCAAATATGTGTAGCAGAGTTTAGGATCTTCCCTACAGCTGGGCAGGGACAACACCTGCCCTTCCAAGGTGCAGCCCTTCCTTCATAATTTTCCCCTGTGGGGAAAAGCTTGCATCGCTTCATTGAATGCTTCCAATTATGTTGTATTGCACTTGAATCAAAGGGAGTTTTTGTGTAAGGAACAAGAGAGCTTTGCAAACCACCCAACATGCCACATGTAGAGCTACTGTATATGCAGCCGAGTATCCCTATACGGGTTGCATAGTCATAGCCTAGATTATCAGGGAGAGACCCTATGCCCAAAACCCAGAGGATACCAAGGTCCGAGCCTCCCTGCGTCGTCACTTGCTTGACCCAGGACTGGATGACCTGCATTCATTCACAGTACACTCCCCCATACCAGCATGAAAACTTAAACGGTCCCTATGAAGACTGACTATTTGGCGAGAGGGTAGAAGCTTCCGAGAAAGAAGAATCCCCCCCGCTTTGAGGCAACAGTAGCTAGATACAAACCTACAATCTCTAGGCGTCTAGGTCCAGATCTTCAGGCTCGCCTTGTTGGGAAGTACGTGGAAGTTGAGGCAATGAGGCGATGTTTCAACACCGAAAATTGAAAACACCTTCCTGCATGTTGTGTTGAGCTCAAGCCCAGCACCTACTCTCCCTCCAGCAGAGAGAAAGCAAAATTCTGTTTGCATACCTGTTTGCCTGCCTAACGACATAAATATATATATATATACACATATGTCTCTCTCGTACCAAAACAAACGAGAAAACAAAAACACAACCGTTGACTGATTGCCATAGTGCAGCCCAAACAGTCCTGCAACCCCCATCAACCGCCCAGAAACCTTTTCGCAGTCGAAGGCTCTGCTTGCCAAACACGTCTGATGACCCGCGCTCTTGCTTAGTGGTCCTGCCCGCACCCGCACGGAAATCCCACTACAGATTAAAGGGCTGGTGCCTGCACGTTCTCGGACTTCAGAGCTCCCACAGTGATCATCACCTGAGTAAAGATGAGCACAGAGAAGAAACATCGTCAGCGCGGGGCAAAGGTCCGAATACCTCTTGGAAGGTGTATACCCTGCCCTGACCCCCTTAAGAAATCATTCTCCAAAGAGCGGAATCAGGACAGTCTGTCAGAGATGCTGGCTAACGCTCAGACCCCGGCCATGTTCAGCCCTGCCGGCGCATGACCACCACCCTGGGCAGGTTCCCTGCTAGCCCAAACCTCAATACGAACCACCCCCAACACATTGAAGAGGCCGTCACGGCCCAAATATTCTGGCAGAGACATTCATGGCCCAGGGCTAGGGCGGTATTTGATTTTGGTTTTGGGAGAACGGGAAAAGTGTTTGCTCTTCAACACTTGTAGGCCCCACGGAAGAATACAGCTCTACGCTGCCTTACAGGTAGTTCGCAGGGACGCAAGAAATGGAAACCAAAATGGAAACTAACACATCGATGGGGATTGTACAGGCGCTACTATGATGATACAACGGCTGCTATAGGTATCCACTCTTCTACTAGCCACCACTCCGCCGCTGCGCTGTGACTACGCTGTTATTTGCAGCTCTATAGCCGGTGCAAGACTGGGACTAGGGTTGAGGCTCGAGTAGTTAAGGCCATTATGGCCAGCTATAGCCAGTGCAGTACGTATATAGTCATGAAAGCCAGGATGAGCGTTGCTACTGAGCTACGCCACGCAAATCCCTTTCTCATTTGTAACGAAGCAAAAGCACTCAAAACAGAAGCCTTGTAAATCCGGTGCACCAGTTCTAGAAGCTTGTACCTTACCCTCTGCGCCAAGAACCCGTAGTCTGCTTGTAGTTCCTGAGTGCTATTTGTTGCGCAGCGCTCGAGGTGGATCGAAAAACCCTGAACCCCTAAACCCAAAACCCTAAAGCAAGACAAGCCACTAGCATTTGTGAGACAAGCTGGCCACGCTGATTGGGCCGACCTGAGGTCACATACAGGCTGCGGGCCCTTTGCAAAGCCTTATTTACTAGCCCCAAGAGTATGGTTCCAGGCTTTCAGGGCTTACCTGAACCCCCAAAAGTATGTAGAATAATGGCCAAGTGGGCTATTCTTATAGGTTTTGAGCTATTATGCTACCTACTTTTGGGGTCCAGGTACTTATTGGTTCTTAGCAGGGAATATCTGGGAATATAGTATATAGGGATAAAGTAGGGGTTAGATTTCCCTTACTTCCTCCATTTCCCTACTAGGAACCACTAAGCCAAGCAAACTTGAGAGGCTGACCTGACAGACCCCCTAAACCCTAAACCCTGAACCCTAGGCCGGGGTTACATGGGAGAGTGCAGGTCCTGCACACGAAGTGGAGAAGCTGAGACACACGCTGCTACCCAAGTCATCGCCGTCTGTGAGGCAGACAAGCCACCGCAATGCCTTCGAAGGTCTGAAGCTTCGCCCCAACATGCGAACAGCTATCACAATCACAAAATGATGAGAAGAGAATCGCAGCAAACCAATTTATTTAGTTTATGTATATATGCTTATGATGATAGCAGCTGTCATGTTGCCGCAGTCTCCACATATTTCCAGACCGCTGGTCCTCCTGTCAGCTTGGATGAGTGCTCAAATGAAAGCATCCGCAAACGTTTAGCATGGACATTTGTGGTGTGCCATGGCTTCCGGACTTCGCAGAGCCCACAGCATGGGGTTCTGACCGGCTGTCTCTTCACTATTTCGATGCACGCCCGAAAGAACCCCACCATTCCGAAAAATAACTTGAGTAGATCTCTCTCTCTGCAACCGTCGTATACCCTGCTCACAGGGCCTGCCATGCTTTTTAGCCCAGGACGCGGGCTAGAGCCAAATCTTTCTTAGTGAGATCCTTTTCTATGACCTGGGTAGAAGGATAACCTCTAAATCAAAACCGCAGTTCCTTGTAACTATCCAACAATCCCCCCTCAGCCAGTGCAGTTGAATGAAATGCCTCTGGCGGTACCAGGTTCGGCCTTGGCTGTCAGCACTGTCGAGGCTGAATTCACACACACACACGAAAGCTGTAACTGCAGATGGGCTTTGGCAGGCGGGTCCATAAATGCTTGTCAGAGATTGGGCAGAGTACGCTTAGATAGATTGGAATGGCCCGAGGTTTTGCCATGCATGACAAGCCAGTACAAAGGTCCTACCCAAAGACCCGATATTGCAATACGCTCTACGAGTTTTCTCCAGACACTCGCTGCAACGAGCACCCAAACAAAGCGAGGTGGAGCAGGGCAGGTTGTGCGCTAATCGAGTCCCACGAATCGGGTTACATCGAGTTACAGGGAAACCGGATTGTCCCCTTGCACATTTCCACTGCACTTTGGTGCAACGACCGCTCCCAAACAGGGTTGCAAGTAGGACCTTAAGCAGGATGGGTCACTGTAACTTTAGAACTGCTTCTGACTCTGACCTCACTGTTGTTACTGAAAGCGCTATATAAAACTACCCACGAACCTCCAAGTGAGCAGAGTAGGCACCCGGCTGCCCGAGCATCTTGAGGCATTCCAACACCTGGCGTAATCGTACCAAACTAAGGGTTTGGGGTTACAAATCAGTGCAGGGCTTGGAGCTGTATAGGGTTATGGAGGATTGATTCTGGTGTTGCAAGTATAGCATTTGGTAGTTTCCCAAAATAGGAGGACCCAAATATAGACCCAAATATATTATAGTCCTTATTATAGGGACCCCCAAGAAGGTACCCCCAATTTTGGGAAACCCCCATTTTGAAGTAGTTAAAGAATTCTTAGACCATAGAGCTGTCTTATCGTCCACAGCTACCAATGTGACGTGAAAGGGGGAAGGGTTCATCCCAGGGAAAGGTTGTTAGCCGCTGATGTGATGCAGGCCGCTGTATACGATTGCTCTCGTATCCCTAGGGATCCAAATAGCCTTATGTAGGTAATATCTACAGACTTTAGGGCCCAATGTAGGTATTATTTGTGGACTTGGATCCCTAGGGTATAGCTGGACGGCATACACTTAGATTGCTTCAGCTTGAACAATTTAGCAGGCATTGGTTGTGCAACACCTGCAAGCACAAACACAGCTGTGGGGCAAGCGATTCTTCCACAATTCGTGCCTCCCGCATTCGAGCTCAAAGCTTCTACATTACAAAAATGATACGGCATCTGACAGTATCCGTCACTCATCACTATGCTCCTGCGGGAGGCCGCGCACAAAAAAAACATGCCAGGGCAGCTGCGTCGTAAAAGCAGGTGCCTGCGACGGCTTGTATGTGCTTAGTCCCGTCACAGCAAGGAATGCAGGATGCAGGGTCTCAATGAACTTGTGTGCCGTATCTTGGCAAGGGCGAGAGGTCATGGTACTTGCCTTCCAAGTCTGCCCTGATACTATGATAGGTTTGTATGGAACTTAGCCTTACAATGATTACCACATTCCGCGAACCACAGCCAGCATCAAACAAAAGTCTTCGCTCGCGGCCTCCTGCGGTGGCGGGTTGCAAGCTCGCGATGCGAGTCTGAAGCATCCGGCCGCCGACCCTACAGCAGCTTTGTGTTTGGGCGCTTTCGTTTGGCTCCAAGAACGATCACAAACAAGTCACTTTCAAACTTGTAAGTTGGGGCTGGGCTTCAGGGGTTGAAGGTTCAGGCTTTAGGGCAGTGCGGGCTCCAGAGGCATTCTAGCATTTCGGCCCCAGTTGCACTCCGGTACAATGTGGGGAGTGTCGCCAACCACCAGAAGAAGCGCTTTACAAGGAGACTGGCGCAGAAACATTTCGAGGATTGTAAGTCTTTGCTTGTGGGGCCTGTAAGTCAACTGAACAGGGGGTCATGGAAAATTGGCCCCTCACCAAGCCAAGCCAAAAACAAACTAAGACCGACAAAGCCAAAGCTCAAATGGAAACGTACCGATTGTTGTTCTTAATGTGGCCCCCTGGATGTGTATGGGAGGGGGAAAAACTCAGAAGCCCAGTCGCCCTTTGGGTGTCGGCGGGACGATGGTCTGCACGGTGGGCCCAAAGCAGACCACACCCACCTCAATGGCTTAAGCTAAGCAAGGCGCTCACACCTTCACAGTTTAGGGTTTAGGGTAGTCAGGCGCTTCGGGCATTGGCAACCATAACAGCGAGGGTCTTGGCTGAGTCAGAAAAAGGTTACTTAGGTTGACCTTTAAGGTCATGCAAGCCTGAGGCTCAAGCAACTGGAAATGAGATCTTGGGGTACACACCACATGTCTGATGATAGGAGCCTTCAGAAAATATCCTTTCAACTACTTGTTAAGTGGTAAGCAGGAGCGAACACGGAAGACATGTGGCTTTGAGTTGGACTGTAGCACGGGACATGTCAGAAATCAAGGGAGCCAATACATTACCCCAAAACAGCAATGGAGAAACAACTAGAAAAGCAAATGGCAAATTAGATATAGGGATCCCAGTAGCCCAATATGTACAGACTTTACCCAATGTCGGTAATATTTGTAGACTTAATGACCCCAGTTTCCATTTCATTTTCCATGTATTTTCATTTGATTCTCCCTTACGTGTGGAGATAAAGGGCCCAATGCCGGTATCATCTGTAGACTTGGATCCTTTGGGCTGTGCAAAAAAACTCCAAGGCTGAAGCCAAGTCATTGTCCCGCACCTGATCTCGCAGAATCCGCAGGATGCACCTCATCTTTCTTAGCAGTTTACATGTTCTTTTCCGTTCTCCCTGTATAGCCCCAGTATATACACTCAATATAATACAGTAGTTTCCGCGTATTCTTCCATTATCCAACGCAAGAATGACTCAAGATTAAGAGCTCAACATGCTCCAGGGTATACTTAGCTCAACTTCCGGCTGCCAGGGACCCCGTTGACCACTAAACTGAGCTCATCAACAATTGCTGCCAACTTGATGATCAACAGGGATTTCGGGCAGCCTGCTGCAAGACTGCAGGCACAGAGACCTAGCAAGAGTGCTTGTTTTGTCTTGCGCTTGACATACCATTTCCGTTTTCTGGCGGTCTCTGCCTTTAAGGAGGCGGCCTGACCTTGCTGCGCGGATGGCATCAGTGGAAGCGCTGGCATGAACAGGACACGGTCGCCCACGAAGAAAGCCTCCTCCTGTGATGAGATGTCGTCCTTCGCTTCGGCCTTCTCAGGTCAGCTTGCGCTGAACTTCTGGTCCGCTAGGAGTCCAGGAAGGGGGCCTTCTGCTCCGTCTCGCCAGACCAGCCTTCATGTGCAGTACTTGCGGAACCACCTCTGGAAGATGCGGCGGTGACCGAGCTTCTGGATGCCTCAGGCACCGGCCGTGACAGTTGCATGTGGGGAACAGGTCTCAGGAATTGTGCAAACTTGATGGCTCAGTCACACAGAACATGTATCCACAAGCTGCTAGCATGATGATGATTATGACGGCGACAGCAGCAATAGCGCATCTCGCGACAGTACTGCCCCTCATCAAGTACTGCGCGCCACAGCAGCAGATTTCTTGCAAACACGCCACCAACAGTTTCGAAGAACCGCTCATCCACCTCAGCTAGGTGCTCCGCCAGTTCACATTTCAAACCCGTGCCGAAACTGTGACACCGCTAGCTCAACATCCATCCTTCCTATATCCCCTCTCCTGCCTCCTGGTAGCCGTGCTAAAAGTGTGGCAGCGGTAGCTCAAAATCCATCCCTCCTATAACCTCTCTCCAAACTCCAGGTTCGATACTTGTGTGATCTGTTGCCCAGCCTTGCTTGCAATTTTGTGGGCACCAAACCGTCCCTAAACAAGCATACTCTATCATTTACATCGAAATCAACTCGCAAGTGCCGTTGCAGAGAGATGAACTGACATCGCGATCAAGTGGCTGCGGCCCCTTCCCATGTCTACACAGCCCATGCAGGATCCATATGCATCTTGACCAAGCACTATGAAATCTGGCGTCCCACTCTGTAGTTGCTACACGACCTCTCCAAATTCAGTTGACACGGATCCAGCTATCAAGTTCAAACCC